TCGGACTCTCCACGTCGACCCGTGGACCCAGTGGTAGCGAACCTTAAAGCCCCCTTGGCTAGTATTGATTTTTCCACAGGAAGAGCCGCAGACATTTGCATGTGAGTCGTCCGACTGGATGGCATTTAAAAATGCCGTGTATAAAACATTGATCATGATTGACGATTGCAGAATTACGAGTCCTGGGCCCATCGTCCATGTGTATGTGTGTGTGAGTGTGTGGTTGGGTCCATGTGGATACTGTGCCCGCAGGATAACAAACACAATGGTGCCACCATATGCTCACTTCTGTGTGCGCTTGTATTATGATGCGCCGCCAAACGTTTTTATCTGTGGCCGCAGCGCATAAAAGTATGCAATGCTTTTTGGGGAAAGGACGAATGCTCGCATTTTATTTGCGTATCCAGCAGGCTCGAAAATCCAAACTGAACGAGAGGTAATCGAAAAACCATTTAAAGCGCAAACAAATTTAAAGGTTTCTTTTCGATTCTGAAAAGGAAAATGAATGAAAATGTGTGGAAATGTAACTATAGAAGCCGAGCTAAGGGATTGCCTGCTAACATAGTAAGACAAAGCTGCTACAGGATATTTGACTTTCTGCCTCTTTCACTCACTCGCTCTCTCTCCCCCTCTTACTGAAAGGCAACTTGATCGATTTTGTAATCGGCCCTTTCATTTGCACCCATTCACGCACATCGACACACCTGTGTGGCCACATCCCACATCCTACCATTCAGCGCCACCTCCATCTACCTGGCCTTGTCCAGTCAAGCGGTCCTTTGTCCCCACAGTGACTGCCGTGAAGTCCAACAAAGCGGAAGCTGTAGGAATTTACCAACGTTTAAACTTTAATGCCAGCTACAACAGTTTTTATTCCTTCCACTTTTTCTCCGTCTGCTTTCCTTGTGTGTGCGCTGCATCTGTGTTTGTGTACTGGTTGTGCTTGAGATTTTTTTACGGCCAGCCTGTGTGTCCCCCTTATCCTTTATACCCGCCTCGCTCCCGCCCCCGCCTCCGCTTCAATTGAACCTAATCCGGCTGCTAAAGTATTAGCTACGTAGTTGTATGCTCATCCCGGCTGTCCAAACTGCCTTATGCTGCTTTTGTTGTTTGCTGGCATTTAGCAAAAAAAAAAACAAAAAGAAAAGAAAAGAAAAGGGAAAAACAAAAGCAAAAACAAAAGAGCGAGACCAGCCAGTAGTGGAACAGGACGAACCGGAGGAGTTTGCCAGGAGCTGGACAGGAGTGACGTTTGTAAAAAGTTTTGCCTCTGTCCGAGAGCAGCAAGTGGAAGTGGAACTGCAGCGTCCACTTAATAACAAGGCATCAGCCGCTGGACGTCACTTGGCATACTAATCCCTGGCCAACTTGCGCCTCCCACTGAATTAAGTGACCAGGCTGGAGGAGGGGAATTCTGCATGCCATGGTATATGGGGTTCCATATATGGTACACTAGAACACAGAGAAAAATAACTATTCCTTGAAGAGAGATTATGTTTCATTTATTTAAAATTAGTTTTCCCTCAAATCAATTGTTCTCGTGGCTACGTTACCTTTTCCGTCATAAGGAAATTATCTTTAAAAATCAACTAGTTATTTTCGCAAGTGCATCCTTTGGGGATTCTTTGCCTCCAAGCTGCATTCCGTCACCTGCCAGGCTGACAGGCTGCCAGACAAAGTCGCTGCCAAAGTGGACAGCGAATGGACAGCGGGGCAAAGACTTTAATGACAGCCAACATCAATGAGTGTCAGGCGGGGCTGTTGAAAAATTAATACGAAACGACAATGACCGGGAACGGGGTCGGGATCGGGATCGGGCAAGAAGTCCCTCTTTTCCTTCTGCCGTCAGGTGATGCTTGGCGTCAAACATGGCGTATGATTGATTTTCCAGTCGTAAACTATGGCTGAGCTGGGAGCTGGAGTCGGGGCCAGATAAAGCGGCAAATAAGCTTCAATAATAATAAAAGTTATAAATCTTTTGCATGGTCTCGCCGAGGACAAGTCGAAGTCCTTCGGAAGGACGACGACATGCTGCAACGCGGCGATAATAACAATTTATTGCACACGTACAGGGACACTCGCAGACACACACACATGTGCAAGAGCCGGAAAATGCCGCGAGACACGATTGCAACAACTACAAACAACAACAGCTGAAAGGCCAGACAAAGCGCAAAAAGCGAGCATAAAAACAGCACAATAATAAAAATGAACAATGACAGGTTAATAGCAAATAAATGAAAGCCCATAAGAAAAGGAGCAACAGCAAGCAGGATCAAGGACCAGCAGCTAGAAGGCACCTCCGAGCCAGACAAAGGAGAAGCCTCCGGTCCAGACTGGACGACAAACTATCGCCGTGGCCTAGCCAATTGATATATAGTTTTCAATTTTAGAAACCATTGAGCAGCTGCAATGGCACCCTGCCTCCTGTCTCCTGTCTCCTGCATGTCCTCAAGGCATTCTGGCAGAAATAAAAATGCTCGGGAGCACGTTGCTGGCATATTTAAGGCATTATTATAACCGAAGGGAAGGGCCTAATGGCGGCAAACGTACTTAACGGCCACAATAATGACGATAATGGGCGATGAGTTAGCGGCCGAGCAGGTTGACAAAATGCACTCGGCATGCAATGCACTGCCTGCCAATAATAATCGTCATCATCATCAGCATTATCATTAGCGCAGGACGAAGAGGGGAAAGTGCCAGGGAAGAGGAAACTGCAGAAGGACACGACTCGCACACGATTCGGTCTTTGTGTCTGACTATGGAAGCGGAAAATGCATTAACTCAACGGCAGACGCCGAACTGAATTTATTTTGCACTTTAAGAGTGCCTTTTTACCCGGCAAAAGTTCCGAGCTGCTGCTGTCCTGAATGCATCAGCCTAATTACACGTCTCTCTTAATTGCTTCTCCAGCGGAATTTATAGTGTTTTTCCCCTATATATGTAGAACATATTCAGGGCCTGCGTTGAATCCCTAATTTAAGCACCAGGTATTTTCCACTATTTGCTTTAGCCTTTTCAGTTTTTCAGCTGTCGGTAAACATTTAATATGCTTATTTATTCAATTGAATCGCGCCGTGTTGAGCAAAAAATATCGTTATGACCAAAACATGAATATGCAAATCGATGGAGCGAGGCAAAAAAGCGAAATAAAATAATTTCCATTGGGGCATGGAAGCAGCTCTAAATAGGCTTCAAAATCAGCCATAATCTACCGTCTATAGGCTCCACTTTATTCCATTTTATTTTATAATTTAAATATGCCATATTTAATATATGATAGGTGTCGCAAGCCGCCTGCAAGCGGATTAAATTTTTCCCGCCCCTCCCTCCAATCGCATCGCATTCAATAAAATGTTATTAAATTCTTTCGCCCGGTGGTAAACTTGTGCGTCCAAGAAAAAAAATCGATCACCTGTTTAAAGTTGGCGCTGGCCAGGAGCAACAATGGCGGGGTTACTTGGCAGCTGTGCCAACGCCTGGGCGAACGCATCAGTCAACGTCCTTACAGTTTAACAAAGGACGACATTTGCCGGTTGCGACACTGGCACAAAAAAAAAACCAGAGGCAGCCAGTAGGGAGGGGAAAAAAGGAGCGCATCGGGCCACTTTATAAGCCAAATTCAGCTACTTCGCTGTTCACTGCGCCCTTTGTCTGTTTGCTTACAACTTTTTTTGCGCTCTTGTGTCAGTCGCTTTTGGCAATTTGTTTCTACATCCAACGACGAATTCAATTGAAAATTTTCCAGCAGACACTCGACGGGCGCACTGCTCGGCAAATTTAAAAACAAATTTGCCGCAAAGCAACGGCAGCAAACTTGGGAAACAAAGTTTTTTTGCCTTCGAAACTCTAGAAACGGAACTCCGGTTCTCGGGTTCGATTCTCAATTCCCCATTTCGCACAAACTGGTCAAGTGTGGACGTGCGTTTAAATGTTACGTATACGTCGCGTTGTCCGCTGCACTTGACTGAATCGTCTCGTCTTGGCCCAACGTCTCGTGTTTACCCAGTGCACTTTTCAACAGAGGAAACAACAAACGGCAGACAGACAACGGCCACGCCTCCCTCCTTCCTGGTATTTGCTTTCCCGCCCACGCCTTCTGTTTGTTTTTCTTTTTCCACAAGGCAAATGTGTGTGTGGCTCTGTGTTTGCCTTTCGTTTAGTCAGAATGCCAACTATGACAAAACCAGGGAATCCGAATCCGGAGTCCCAGAGTCGAAATCAAAATCGAATCGAGTCGATTGACTGAGCCAATGCCAATGTGGAAATTGTCAATAATTTCAAATTGATTTCTATTTGATTTAGCACGGTAACAAAGGCAGACACCTACCTACATAATTGTATGGCCACGGATACGTGGCGACGTCTTTAGTTTTTGCTTCCTTGTGATTGGAGCAGAGCTCGCAGAGCGTAAGTGAAAACGTAAACTTTGACAAACACGCGGGCCTCGTTTTGAGGGCAAATAACATTAGACAGCTATTAGAGGCTTGGCCGAGTTTTACGACGAAACCATAAAAAGCATTACTTGAACTGCTCGAGCTGCTCGTAAAACCCGTGAAATTTGTAAGGACCTGCGACTTGGACTTCGGACGGAGACCAGGACACGGCCATAGGCGTAGGCAGGCAATAAAAGCCAATCGATAAGTGCCTAAAGTGTTGCAGGACCTCGTAAACAAATGGGGCTGGTTCTCATCCATCAGGGAATCGTCAAAGGAGTTGCCCCGTCTGGCCGCAAATTTATTAGCTACCCCATCAACGTATCGATTATGACAATTACGCGCAGGAAACACTAACATTAACGCACAAAAAGAAATCGAAGAAGCATTATTAAGTACATAAGTATTGCAAACGAGGGTGGCTTTTGATATATAGCTCCGTTTCTGATATATAAGAAATGCAATGACCTACAGTTCTTAAGGTTATATCTATTTTTGTGGTAGTAGTTCAAATTTAATAGTTATATTATTAAATTGTATGGTTATATTTTATTAGCTTACCCTGCTTGGGCGAGATGCTGAGCACCTGCTGCTGCGGCGACTGCTGCTGCGAGTGGATCTGGTATTGCTGCTGCTGCTGCACCACCACCGCCTGCTGCTGGGCGGCACAAACGGCGGCAGCCACCGCCTGCTGCTGCTGGTGATGGGCAGCTGCAGCAGCTGCTGCGGCGGCAGCAGCGGCCTGCTGTTGCGACTGCTGCTGGTGCGGCGATTGCGACTGGGGATGCTGCTGCTGCTGCTGATGCTGCTGGGTGGTGACTATGGTCATCTGCTGCGGCTGCTGCTGTGCCTGCTGCTTGCCGTTGAGCGACTGCTGCTGCTGTTGCTGTTGCTGCTGCTGCTGGGGGCGGGCGCCTGTTGCTGCTGCTGCTGCTGCTGCTGCAGGTGCGTCTGGTGGATGGCCAGCAGCTTTGTCTCGTAGGGCTTTCCGTGGGCGGCGCTCAGCGTCATCTGTGCAGTGGCTGGCATCATCAGCGTGGGCATAGCCAACATTTTCCTGCCTACAGTTGCACTGGGAGCCTGCTGGGTTGCGTGTTGCTAGTGGCTGCTGTTCCTAGTTGCTGCTGCGGTGCGGAATTTGCACGTTTTGCGGTTGCACGCAGCTCGCTTTGATGCTTAATGAAGTGCCTGCTGCCTGCTCTGCCGCCTTGCAGTTGATGATATAAATAAATTGTGTTATAATTTGGCTAGGTTTTCGGTTTTGGTTTCTTTTTTTGTTTTTACTTTTTGTTTTAATGACCGCCTTTTTGTGTGAAACCGCACTTTTGTTGCTGCTGCTGCTGTCGAGTTTTATACGCAAACGATTTGATGCATTAAATAATTTCTACAATTTTGCTAATTTGGAAAATGTTGGTGTTGCCTTTTCTGTGGTTTTGTTCCGCTTCGTGTCGTTTGTGGTTGCTTTTTAGTTTTCATAAAAAATTTTCTCTTCGCTTGTTGCTTTTTGCTTGACCTTCACTTATCACAGACCAATGAAATTTGTTTTCGGAAAGTTCATTTGGTTTTAAAATTATGTTCCCAGGCAGAATCACCTAGCACGCAAAGGCGATTTTTTATTCGCTACAAAGAAGTAAAGAGAAGAATTGTTGTCAGAATATTTTCCATCATACGGCCGGGTATGAGTGAAAATATTCTGCAAGCGGAAAATGATAAGCAAACAAACTCATAACGCTGGGAAAACAAAAAGGATAATTGACTCTGCCGAATGACTGGCAGCTCGGCTCGGCTGCTAGTGTGATTACAGTTCTCCCAGGCGCGCAAAAAAGTAAATAAAACTGACGACTCGCCTTATTTTTATGGGGCGAGCATAGCCCACGCACAGCCATTATCATATATCAGGACTAAGCCATTCACACATCATTTGAAAAATTAAATTTAATATTTTACGATTTGTGTGCTCGCATCCGCATACAAAGCGAGCCAACAATGAGCCAACAAAAAATAAAAAGTTATGCGCGAAACGCGGACGACAGGCGGTAGACATCGAAAGTGCGCGTAACGCAATGTCTAAGTGCCAAAAGCAGAAACAGACAGCTCAGGCAGCCCAAAAAAACACAAACACACACACAAAAAATTATAACAATAATAATAAAAGCAGCGGAATACAAGTGCCGAAAAAAAAACACGCACAAGAAACCGAGCCTGGCTTTTACGACAGACCCCCAAAGACAGCATCCCTGTGTGGCAGCAAACAAAGCGAGTCCTGACACCCTGTACGCCCCAAGTGTTGGCAAGTGTCAGGATCAGACGCTTCCGGTTTTTATAGCGCATGGGAGCTGCGGAAGGACGAACGGGCGGACGTACAGACGGACAGGACACTCTGGCAGACAAATGCTATGTATAAATATAAATATAAACTTATATTTTTATTTTTATTTGCAAAAGCCAGGACAAGCCGCCGAATGCATGGCAAACACCGAAAAATACAAAATACATACGGCATCCTTTTCCGACAGAGAAACACTGCTGTGTGCTGAGTGTGTGTGCCAGCCAAAAAGTATGAATCACACACACACACACACACACACTCGGAGCACACTCACACACACGGCTGCAGTGTCCTTTTTATATAGGAACCCAGTCGGCAGCATTTATTGGCTGCTCGTTGTCGGTTTATGTGGCACACAAGCCGAAGTGGCAGACGCCTGTAGTTGCCATTGCCGCTGTGCTGTGCCACATATAGTATAGAATAGTACATAATGTGGCAAAAAAAAACACAACAAGCACAACAAAATACATGCACGCAAAAAAGCGTTGAGGCCGTATATTTAAATATGGCCAAAATCGATGCTTGCCGCTGTGACAACGAGACCAAGGAACCCAAAAGGGGTTAAGCATTTCGAGAAAATCTTTAAATCGTTGCGATTTTATCACAAGTCGAAAAAGCCCCAAAAAGTATGCTAAAAATTATACTTCACATAATTTCACACTTGGCGTACATTCTTTACTCAAAAACTGTAAGCACACTAAACACATTTATGCAACAAAAGTCTTTTCGAAATCACTCACAAGAAACTCAAGCACATTTTTTGTTAAATGTTGAAAAAATAATATCAAACGTTAGGCACTAAAGTATTTAAAATTTGAAAATAAAATAAGCATATAAAAACTGAAATAATTTAAATGTATTTATTCAAAGTTTTTATTTTAGTTTTTGGTTATTTATCATCGTTTATTTTAGGCTTCAGTTTTAAGTTTCTTCGTTGGTTCGGCTTTCGTTTATTTCACTTCGTTGATTTCATGATTTCCTTTTTTTCGCCTTTTCTTACTTTTCGGTTTATATTTTGAATTCTCTTTAGCGAGCAGTTGGCTTTCGGTTTGCTTTTGGGTTGCTTTTGGTTGGTTGGTTGGTTTGTTTGAGAAATTATAATAACAACTTAACAACAATGTAACGAATATCCTTTCTTAACGAGGACACAATTCAAACTGAAGGCGAAGCGCCTTCGTCCGGCTCACAAATAGTCAACACATCGTACCGCTCCTGTCGTTTACCGTTATTCTGCCAGCGTCGCTGCCGCTCCGAAATCCTTTTTGGCCAACCGAGCCCTCGTCACTCGTTCTCGTCGTAAGGATGTGGCCCGAACGCAAGCCGAAGTCTCCGCAGGAATAACTCGCTCTCAGGCATGCGCTTCTTAAAGTTCGAAAAGGTGGCTGTCTTTGCTAGGATATTTTCCCGAATTGCCAAGGATTTTAAAGGCATAAAAATTTCCCTGCTTTACTAGGATTTATAGCAACTGTCGAGTGTTATATGCTCCACCATGAAGGGATTTAGGGGAAACTGTTAATCCGCCGTATCAGCTTTCGTTGCCCCAACTTGTGCTAACAGAGGCTTCGAGTAAAGATTACATGCAACGCATTATAACTCATTATGCAAAGGATACCGCCAGCAAATGGAGAGAGTCCTTTGAGCCGCTTTACACTAGGCAAACAAACAAAGGCCCTCTCGCACACATACACATGCCTTTTGTTTGTGCGCTCGAGAGCCAATAATCCACTTTTGTTTTGTTATCACTTGTGCGCCCTTTTGCCACCCCAATCCACCCAACCACCAGCCAGAGTCGGCTCCTTGCGGCATCCTTCGCCTTCGCCTTTGCCTTCGTCCTGGTCCGCCACCACTTAGTTTCTACTTGATTTGTCGTTTAAGAAAACTAATTGTCTGCCTTTTGTTGAGCGTGAAAACAATGGAAAACATTTTAGCAACTGTTACTCGCCGCCGAAAGCGTATTAGACGCAGACCTCCAGCGTCTGGGCAACATTTTGTGGCCATGTGGAAAGGCAAAGTGGCCAGGACGAAAGTGGCTGAGGACGAGTCTAAGTCTGAGTCGCAAATGGCTCTGGTTTTCGGTTGCTAGCAGCGAAAGAGACCGCAGCGAACTTTTCTTTTGCAGCTCCTCAAGGTCACTTTGGTTTGATGAAAACGGTTGCTGTGGCATAATTATAAGTTTTCAGAGTAGAATTTATTTAGGACGAAAGAAGAATTTGCCTGAACTAATTCCCGAAGCTTCGTACAGGAAAATGGTTTGAGTTAGGGAGGACAAACTGTAGATACTGCCTTTCTCAACGGATTCTCAAAGGAACCTCCTGTGATCGATTTCCCGCAACGCGGAAACCGATACCCACTCCCATTTCACAGGGCCGAATAACGAGGCAAACTCTGCGTTGCATATTCATGGGACATGGGCTCAAACACAACCCAAAACACAGCACAAACACAAACATTCGCCGCTGCCAGAGTTGACGTCGATGGCGTAACAGATATCGGTTACGTTGCATGCAACGGCACGGGGTCGGTCTATGCCTTTCGCCGCAAAAGGGGTTAAGCCAAGCGAAAGCCGCAAAAAACTTGTGTCGCACGCATAACTTAAAATGTATAAATATCCTTTTAAAGTCGTGTTTAATCAAGGGGGAATCGATTTCAGGCCTCGGTTAAGCAGCAAGGTGCTTTAAAACTTGTGTTTGTAAATGCTGACTTAACCACAGAGATTTCTAAAGCATATTTAATTGAGTAAAATTCATAAATAATTGAGTTTTCAATGCAAGCACATATCCAAATTACATTCAGAGATACTGAGCAATATTTCTTTAAGGATTTTCCAGGAAATTCGGACTATCTTTTAGTTTAAATATTTATCTGGAAAATCTTGAAGCTGTCTTTTCATGAAACAATTATTTAAGCTATTCCTGGAAATCTGATATGCTAGTATCCCGATTTCACGCTGATGCACTATGCAAATGACCAAGTTCTTTTATCTGTTTGGCCGTGACGTCAATGGCTTTGGTAAAAGTAACAGGAGCAACAGAAAGTAAAACAGCAACAAGGATAGCAGCTCGGCGACACATTATCCTGCGACTAACTATGTAAAAAAATAACAAACACAAACATCAACTCTCGCACACTCATGGCGGAGCAGGACTCACGTGAGCGATTAAAATCCGAAAGAAAGTATTTCAGTTTTCCACACAGTTTTCCGAGGGTTGCTGCCGGGGTGCAAATGAGTTCAGCCGGAGAAAACAGCGGCATGTAATTGGAGGCGAGTGTCGTGTAAAATGTAAAACTTGCGCCGTAAATAAATCAAAACTTTCCGACTGAACAAACATTCAGGTGAGCGAAAATAAAAAAAAGAAGTGCAACAGCAACGGCCCAGCAGCAACATTTTCATATTGACAAGTGTGCCGAAGAGGGAAAGCGTGGGAAAAATGGGAGCAGCAAACGGGTGGAAAGATGCAGGGCGGGAAAAACTCAAGCAGGGGACAAAAAAAAAAACAAGGCTGCTGCCGGGGTTATTTACACTAAAAATTGGAACAGCTGCAAAGCACTTACAGGTGCTGCCGCTGGGCTTTTTAAACGGGGCAAAAGGGGATTTCCCCTTGAATTTTATTTCGCTCTTGAGCAATTCCTCAGTTAAAAACAAATTAAGAATTTAGTCAGTTAAATTTTTATTAAAGAAAACTTGAAAGAGTAAGGAATTAAAGAGCTAAAGCTTTTCTTAATCTTAAGCACATTCGAAATATATTTAATAACATATTTGGAGATAGAAAACACTTAATTCATTTTAGATTCGCATACCGCACATACTGTGTTTAATGAGGCTTAAATATTTCCAAATACTGTACATATGCGGCTAATCAAATGTCAAAGTTAATAGCCAGAAAAGAGTTAACTCTCGAACTCGCCATTAAAGCTGGCAAAATCTGCAGCACATAAATCCCCAATATTGATTTATTACATAATATGCTAAACACCAACCACACGAGGCGGGGCACAAAAAAAGTTTCGCTTCGCCTCGTTTTGATTTATATATTCATTATTCTATCATATTTATGGGCGGGGCGCACAAATGAAATGTAAATGGCGCTCTGGCAGAGGATTAATACGGTTACACAACACAACACAACACACAACAACTAAATAAAGTGAATTTAAGTTGTGGCCGAAAAGTTTTGGCCGCAATCCGGGCTCAAGGTGGTCAAGGAGGCGAGCGCTTTCTTCTTTCACATTTGTATAGTCCTCGTAAAATGATAAAAATATTAATATAAATAAACAGGGGAGTAAACGGAGATCCCGAGACCATTTGCCAGTGCTGCGGCTTTGTTCGCCGGCAGCAGCATCTCGGGGCGGAGCAAAAGGAAAGTTTTGTGATATCATCTTTAGCGAGCAGCATCCGGGGCAACCTTGGGTGAGAAAACGCGGGAGGACTTTGGCATAAGTTGACAATTTTTTGTCGCTTTGCCATGGCTTCGACTGGGCTTTTCCTCCACTTTTCCATCCTTGTCTTGTCTATTTACCGCCCTTGCTATTTCCCTGCCTTGGATAAATTTTCGGACTGCAAACTTTGCCCATTGCCGGACAGGCGGCACCGGTACCGGCACCCAGCTGCCTTAGAGCCCGTCCCATAATTGATGGTCAAGCGTTTAACTTAATTGTATGTGGGAATCCGAGCTGCCGGTGGCATGGGCATGCTGATTGTGTCAAGATTTCATTTCAATTTGCGCCGCGATAAGGCTGCGAGACATAAAAGTAAATTGAAACGCCTGACAGTGGCTCTGACAACGGAGTACTGCGAACAGAACGCAGGACGCAGGACACAGGACCTGGGACCACTGGAACGGTAACCAGGTGCTCCTGACCATCATTGCTGGACGTCAGAAGCTCGTCACGCACGTGCAGGTGGAGCAGTTTCAAAAATTTTTAATTGAATTTGCTACTGGACAGGGTAAAAGAGACTCCAGCTCGCAGACAAAAAAAAGTATGTGACAAGATGGGTTTAAGTAATCAATTCAAGGATATCTCTTTGGAATTAATGTACTTATACTACTCCGTACAATTTTATACAATTTGGAGGCTGTACTTTATAAATATATCCATATCAATACCACAGTTTTATATATTTAAAAGGGATTAACATTTATCAAATCAAATCTCAGATATTCCATAAAGTATTTCCCATCACTATATTTCAATATATTTTCGTCAGTGCACTCGTACTCACTATGCAACGGCGGCATGTACTCCATTTCCTCGTCACTGTCCTCCATGTCCTGGCCGGCATCGCTGCCATCTCCTTGGCCTCCTTCGGTCCGCTCTGCTGCTGCTACTCGAGGGGGCGTGGCAAAGGAGTTGGTACGCAGAGCCACTTCCATGGCACGCAGAGCGGGCAGGCTCCTGGGCAATTTGCCATTCTGGAAAAAGGGAGAGGCGGACGATGGCCCATTAAAATTAGACAATAAATAGATAGAGATGAAAATAAAAACACGTGCCAGGTCATTCCAATTTCGAGGGAGTCAGAGCAGATCCCGGAGCCAGTGTCCTAATTGAAGCATTCAACCTGATTACGACTCTGAGCGACTGGCGACAAACGACTAACCTGAGACTAATGCCAAGGGCGACAAATGTCCTCTGAAGTGGCGTGCAAATCATGAAAAGGATTACACGTACTAAAGTCCGGAATGGAAACAAATGCCCCACCTTGGCATCATCGTTGCTGTTAAAGTTGGTCAAGTTTTGTTTTTCCCCTCCTGTTTTTCCTTCATTTTTGGTGACTAAAAAGCAACGATGTGACGACAACAATAACAACCGAGGGGAGCAGCGGCCAGAAATCCAATTTCAGCAAGTAGCACGACATAAATTTGTTTTCTCCACACCAACCACACACACACATGGGGATGGGGTTGTCCTGGCTGCTGGCCATGTCCTGCAAATGAATTCTGTTAATGCAGACATTACTCGAGCATATTAAAAGTCCGAATGTCCATTCCGCACAGAATTTTATAGCAGGCAACCGCACCGCACCGCACCAAAAGGGGGGAGGCAACTCCACCATCCAGGCTACAAATAGGCACATTTGTTCCACCCAAAAAAACACCCGAATCCGAGTCCGAATCCCTGGCAAAGGAGTAGGTAGTTGTAGTCCACCCCAATCCACCCCCGGGATCAGTGCTGCAGCCAATGGCCAATGTAGTTAGCAGGCCGGCCATATACGCATATTTGTTTACCTTGCCACGACAATTGCGGTAGACAGTTTTTCGGTTCACCGGGACACACACAGAGGGGCAGGCCAAAAAGCAGTTTCCGGCCGAGCCCCTGCCGGACATTTAGTTTATTTGATGTTGCGAAATGAAAATTGTGACATAAAAGGGACTAAGAACATAATTAACTAGTGTCCAAATGTGCAAATCCAAACGCATAAAAAGTGAGCAAACAACTCTGACTGCTCTGCCATCGTTTGGGGGGAAAAATCTGAACAGAAAAATATAAAAAGAAAAACAGAGGAAAAACCGAGGAAAAGTAGAGCAAACGATGCAACCGAATGTCGGGGCCACCGAATGACACTTAAAGGATTTGCCTGGGCGAGCCTTGAATATGCTTGGTGTTATGGGAATGCCGAATCCTGGAAGCTAAGCGCCGAAGCTGATGCCCTGTATCCTGTGGCCCAGAATCCTGGGCCCATTCCGGCCATCAGAGCGCACATTATTCGCTGTCCCCGGATCCGTTTTTACCAGCCACGTGTCGGCCACAAAGGGTCATGATTAGTTTGCTTAATAAAGAAAAGGGAATAGCGCCGATAAATATGAAAAAAAGGGACTATGACACTCAAAGAGAAAATGTAAGAAAATTCAACGTAAGTCCATTTAAATAAAAATATAAGACGTCAGATTCGAACTCTGGAAAGTTTTAAAAATATTTTAAGAAATTAAAATGTGGCTTACTGTTTTTTGTTTTAGATATATCACAGTGTTGAATACATAAATATACATTCATTATAGCTTCTGACTTCACACTTATTTAATCCATATGATTTTGGGTTTTAACCATATGATTTGAAAGTTTAAATAATTTTTTTATGTATCTTGAAACTTTCCTAAGGTTCCTCAGTCAGATTTTCCTCAGTGCATCTACGAATTCTCCTATTTTTTAGTAGAAAGCGTGGCCTGTGCGAATTATACAAAAGCTAAACGGCACAGAAGTTATTTTATATTTATGAATATGCCGGTCGTATTACTATTTACAATTGAAAGGCCACCCTGCCAAGCGGGGATAATATTTGAAATTAATGATTTCGAGTGCCGCTCGAGGCTCGGGTGGGTGGACAATTGCCAAAGATGAATGAAGACAAATGATGGGCGAGCATTTATAGCATTAGCATCAACTTTCAATTCCCAACCCACCGGGCGGCTCATGTCCATGTCCCGCTGCCTTCGATTTTTGCAAAGGGAACGCGGCCCAAGGATTACGAGGATTTCGTGGCCCAATTCTGGGGGAAGGAGAGAGAGCAAATTAAATAACCGTCAAACCGTCAAAGGAAATCTTCGAAACAAAGCGTTTCGCGATTTACCCCAAGAAATTACAAAATTTTTCTTCTTCTGTACCGTACATATTTCGTAAATTTTTCTGTTTTCGCATTCGGCTTCGTCTCCATTTGGCCTTATTTGCTCATTTTTGAGTATTTGATTTCATTTCGTTCATTCCCATTCCCATTCCGCATTTTCATTTTCCACGCTCGTGTGTTTTTGCCCGAATATATATAGTGTACAGTTTTTAATAAAACAAATTCAGCGGGCGGTGGCCTGCGGCGAACATGGCAGGCGAAATTAAATTATTTCGCTTATCCCCCCTTGTCGGTGACGCCATAAGATGAAAGCAGGAGAAAGTCGCTGGCTGGACTCAGACATTTTATCATTTGTTGTTGCCACTGACAGGAGTCCTATAAGGGAATATATAATACATGAAAATATATACATATATATAATATTTTCCAGGATGTGGCGGGATTCCTTGCTAAAACTCTTAAGGAAGCCAGGTTGCTTTGTAAATTAAGGATCAACAATATAAATCAAGCTCATGAGTTTCTAAAAGTTGATTTTGAAAATATTTGCACTAAGACTGAGATAATTCTTAACAAAAAAAAACCATAGCTAATCAGCTTAAATAGTTTTGCCAACATTTCACTTATTTATTTATGCATTTTGCACAAAACTAAGTCACAAAAAGTATAGATTAAAGTTTAAATAATTCAAAAGTATATATTTTACATTGCAACCTTATCTTTAGGGATTTAAAACAGTTAATTTTTTGTTTTACTTATGAGAAATGTAAATGTTTGTTAGGAAAACCATAAAGTTCACAAAAAAAAACAAGTTTATAATTAATACACAAGCTTTCTACTAATAATTAGGAATAGCTAAAAATATATTGATAAACATTTAATTTAATGTTATATTTACAAATCTGGTGATTATACTTGTGAAACTTTAGTGCATTCACTTTATTTCAAGTTTAATGTTTGCAATTGCTTTAAAGGTGCAGGAACGCATTAGCTTGCTTCCTATCGTGATTTGTTCGATGCGTGTTGTCCTGCAAGTGGCACCTGCAAAACACAGGCTATATGTTGTGCGACACTTCCGCTTCGTGGCGCATTTCTTTTGGCCTAATGGACGTTGATTGATGACGCGGCCGGCGACAGGTGAAAGTATATGCTGTAATACATATTTATGAGGCAGCCAGAGCAGGCGGGATCGCTTCGAGTCCTGCGAGTCCTAGCAGGGGCTTGGAGCTTGGATCGGTGGCTTGCATAATTAGCAGCGGATGAGGGGGATAGCCAATGCAATTTATACGGCCACAATGCGTCGCTCGAGGCTGGCCTTTCCGGAGGCAATCGGCGATCTAATGCCATGCAATTTTCTGCATTGTCGTTGCCGTTGCCATTGCCATTGCCGTTGCAGTTTCAGGACAACCTGCTTTGACAGATCCCGTTTGCCATTTCGGTATGCAGAACGGGCCAACGGGCTAGCCGGGCCATAAATTAGGCCCCACATCACTCAGAGTGCGGCCATGGAGATGGGAATAGCGATGGGGCTTAGGGATGGCGGTGAGGATGGAGCTGCAGACGGAGCCAAGCGCAAAAGCATGCCAAAGGCATCAATCGGCAAGAGTGCTGTGCTGAAGATACGCGGAGTAGGCAACATTGTTTTACACACAAAAAAACAAAAGGGTATTGAAAATGTGATTATAAATACCTAAATATAAAATCTGGGAGTAGCTAAATAAATTCCTTAAGTCACTAAATAGTTTACATTATTACAAACACAGTGAAGGAATCATTTCCGACCCTATAAACCATATATATTCGTGATCAGCATGAAAAGCCGAGCCGTTTTAGCCATCTCCGGACAAAAACAAAAATTTAAAAATTTTTTCAAAATTTTATAAGGAATTCAATCGTTAAAATTGTCAAAAAATTCGACAAAAAATGAAATCTCTTAAAATGTTTAGTGGAGTATGCAGTTTTATTAAACTAACAAAAATTAACATAAAGTAGTTGTCCGATTTAAAATTAATGCTTTTTTGGCTGAGTTTTGGGATTTTTTAACTTTTAAAATATTGTCATAAATATAATATAAATAAATACCGATTCCAAAAATGCAAATATCTAAAGCTTAATTATGATTAATTAGATTTATTTTTCTCTGTGCACTCGCACAGCCTGCGGAAGCGGAATGGCAGCCCGGTTCTAGAAAGGCATGCAACATTGCATATCGAGACCACACGTCGTATGAGCAATGCCAAATGCTGCCGCCATCCCGGAGACGGGCCACATCCTAGATCCAAGCTGAATCCCAAGACTGCGTTCAAACGCATGAGGCGTAGTACTATCGCTCATAATTTTCAGTTTTCGCATATGCCAGCCTACGGCAGTCTAAGCAAACAAACAGGGACACAAACGCACACATAGACAGGGGGCATCGTCTCAGCTGCACTTTGAATATCCTGCCATGGGCGGCTCAGGAATATCCTTTACCTCCCCAGTAGATCCAGCAGCAGCCAATTCCATTGCCTTTTTTTGCTGTTTTATTTGCTCATAAAACTATCAAATGCCATTTCTACAAATTTATTAGCTAAATACTCAAACAAAAAATGTATAACAATAAATTAAATAACATGATTTTAATAATAAATTTTTTTTTATATTTGTATACCCATGAACAAATTTATTAAAAATAGTCACCAAACATAAATCCAAATTAAATAAATAACACTCAAAAATCAAAACAATTAATAAAATTGGGATTAAAGCAAATGCATGTATTGTTTGTTTTTCTATATGAAAGAACATTATCTGAATAAAATTAAATTATTTTTCTAAAAAGAATACAATTAACCAGAATTCTTTAAGCAATCACAT